AAAAGGTCACCAGTTCAATTCCCAGTGAGGGCACAAGCCTGGGTTGTGGACCAGGTCCCCAGTAGGGGGTGTGCAAGAGGCAACCACACATTGATGTTTCTCTCTTTCTTCCTCCTTTCCCCTCTATTTAAAACTAAATTTTTTTTAATTTTTTTGAAAAGTGGCTAAGGACTACAAAGATGGAAAATCAGTGATGGTTATTGCTTGCTAGTCAGGCATTTCCCATTCCACCATGGCTATAATCTTGAAGAATAAGAACAAAGTGATGGAAGCCATTAAGGGATCTGCTTCATTAAAGGCAGCGTGACTAAAACAAACTTATAAAGGACCTATATTAGACCTGGAGAAACTTCTAATGACCTGAATTAAAGACCAGACACATAAGTGTATCCCTCTCAGCATCATGACAATCATGGCCAATGCAAAAATTTTATTTGTGATGTTGAAAAAAAGACTGGACCCTATTAAGTTGTTGAAGTTACTGCTATGGGTGGTTTAAATTTTCATTACATAATGTGAAGGTGAGTGGTGAGTCTTCAAGTGCTAATGTACATTAGGCAGCTGAAGAATTTTTGGAAACTCTAGAGAAGCTGATTATGGAGGAAAATTACTTGCCAGAGCAAATATTCAATATGGATGAAACCTGCCTATTCTAAAAATGGATGCCTAAAAGGACCTTCACCCATAAGGAGGCCAAGTCAATGCTAGGTTTCATGGCTTTTAAGGACAGGATAACAGTAATGATTGGAGGCAATGTTGTAGGCTACAAATTGAAACCCTTTGTGATCTGGCACAGTAAGAAGCCCAGGGCCTTCAAGCACATCACTAAGCACACACTGGCATTGTATCACAGGAGCAATAAGAAGTCATGGATGACCAAGCTTCTCTTCCAAGATGCCCTCCTAAATTGCTGTATCAGCAAAATGGAGAGGTACTGTTTGAAAAATAACATACCTTTCAGGATTTTATTTATTATTGATATGCTCATAGACATCCTCCTTTTACTAGTGATTTTCATCCCAATATCAAAGTAGTGTTTCTCTTTCCAAACACCACATCTTGGATGCAACCAATGGATCAAGGAGTTATAGCAGCTTTTGAGGCCTGCAGCCCAAGGAGGACCTTTGCCCAGGTTGCAGCTGAGAAAGACACTGAAAAGACACTGGTGCATTTCTGAAACAATTGCAGCATCTATAACTGCATCAAGAACCTTGCTTGGGCTTTGGTTGATATCACAAGGGAGTATATGATTGTGTTCTAGAATAACATACTCAAGAGGTTTGTTCATGACTTCAAAGGATTTGCCAAGAATGAGGAGGACGTTGTAACAATCAACAGAGCTGTGGTTGAGGTGTCAACAACTATAATCTAATCGGGGTGTTGATGAGAATGACATTGAGGAGCTCCTACAGGTAGTTCCTGAGGAATTGACTAACAAGGAATTACTGGAACCTGAAAAGGAATACATAGCTGAAAAGAAGTAAAAGAAGAACCCTCAAGAGAATTCACAGCAAAAGGTTTAGCAGAAACTTTTATAGACTTCAGCAAGTTCCTTAAAATTTTGGAAACATGAACCCTAACACTGAAAGGTTTTCATTAATAGAGGGGAATGGTCATGTTGCATTATCTGCTTACATGCAAACTGCCATGGATATATTTCTTAAAAGAGGGACACCTTCTCAAGAAGAGTTTCAGGCAAGTCTTTCGGGGGTATTCCAGAAAAAAAGCATCGTTGTCATAGAAGATGATAATTCCATGCCTGTTATTTCCCCTGCAGACCTTCCAGGGGAACAAGATGTGGAGGTGGAAGACAGTGATATTGATGATCCTGACCCTTTGTAGGCCTAGGCTGATGTGTGCTTCTGTCTTAGTTTTTAACAACAACAAAAAAACTTAAGCTAAAAAGTTAAAACCTTAAATAGAAAAAAGCTTATGGGATAAGAATATTAAAAGGAATATTTTTGTACATATATACAATGTGTGTTTTAAGCTAAATGTTATGACCAAAGTACAAAAATTGAAGTTTATGAAGCAAAAATGTTATAGTAAGCTAAAATATTTTTCAATAAATTTAATGTAGCCTAAATGCGCAGTGTCTCCAAAGTCTACAGTAGTATATAGCACTGATTTTCAACCTTTTTCATCTCATGGCACACATAAACTGATTACTGATATTCTGCGGCACACCAGAAAAATAAGTATAATTTTGATTCATTCACACTGGATGGCTATTATTCTGTTGGCTGTTGTCATTTTTTTTATTTAGCAGTATAAGGGAGAAGAGGTCAGTGTTCCTTATTAAATAGGTATTGAATGTTTTGAAGTTTTTTTGTGGCACACCAATTGAAAATCTCTGGTGTATAGTAATGTCCTGGGCTTTCACATTCACTCTCCACTCCCTCACTGACTCTCCCAGAGCAACTTAGTCTTTCATGCCTCCTTCATGATAAATGCCTTATAGGAGTGTATCATTTTTTATCTTATACCATATTTTTATTGTACTTTTTTAAATATTTAGATATGTTGAGATACACAAATACTGTAATTAGAGCTGCCTACAGTCTTTAGTACAGTAACATGCTGTGGCTTGTACTCTGTAATATGCTATACAATAAGCTTAGCTGTACATGTAGGAGAATATTCCATGTATGTTTGTATGAGGCTACTTTGTGATATTCACACAACACAATTGGCTAACAATGAATTTCTCAGAAGGTATCCTTATCATTGTGTGATGTACGATTGTAATCAGAATACATTTTATTGAAAAAAATCTCTAAATATTATTCATTGAAATTCAATTATTTCATTGAATTTTTTTTGATATTTTTAAAAAGATTTTATTTATTTATTTTTAGAGAGGGAAGGGAGGGAGAAAGAGAAAGAAACATCAATGTGCAGTTGCTGGGGGCTGTGGCCTGCAACCCAGGCTTGTACCCTGACTGGGAATCGAATCTGCGACACTTTGGTTCCCAGCCCGCGCTCAATCCACTGAGGTAGGCCAGCCAGGGCATCATTGAATATTTTTGAGTAATAAAATCTTAGTTTATTTGGAAATTATAGTAAACTACCTTAAGATTATTATTAAACATATGTAATAATATAATTCTGCATATTTAGAATGTGAAACTGGATTGATTGTGCTGACCCTTGGACATAATGTACAAATTATTTTTTTGTTGTTGTTATTGGAAATCAAATTATTTTGTCAGGCCCTGGCTGGCGTAGCTCAGTGGATTGAGCGCGGGCTGGGAACCAAAGTGTCCCAGGTTCGATTCCCAGCCAGGGTACATTCCTGGGTTGCAGGCCATAAACCCCAGCAACTGCACATTGATGTTTCTCTCTCTCTCTCTATCGCCCTCCCTTCCCTCTCTAAAAATAAATAAATAAAATATTAAAAAAAAAAAGAAATTCTTTAAAAAAAAATTATTTTGTCAGGATTTGCTGCTTTCTCCCAAATGGAGATCCCAATTTATATTTCCTAGGTGCTGTGTATCTTTTGATTTGGTCAGAGATCTGGACTTAGTTTTATACAGTACACATTTCTCCTGAAAACTGTTCAGTAAAGGGAATGGTGTTTTCTCATAAGCAATATTTTTAAATTGAGAGTTGTGTTTCTGATTTGACACCCAATAAATTAGAGATGGTACCAGCAGTATGTTATAAAAACAAATCTACCTAACCTTGAGTGTACATATAATTTAATACTTTTCTAAGTCAGAAATGTGGAGATTAAGTCTGAGTTTAAAAGCCAGGAAGGGACTTTAGAGATCATCTGTTATACCTGTCTTATGCTGTTCTTTGGGGCACAAGAGTCAAAGCACTACTTGTAGTTGTTGTATATATTTGAACTTCTACCGCATATGTTCTTTGAGGTGGGTAAATGGTGTATGTGGGGGAAGAAAATTGCATACTTTTTATCTAAACCAACCTCATTTTGTAGGTGACAGACCTGAGGCCAGAGCTTTAGATTTTACTCATGGGCTATATATTTCTTTATTCTAGGTGAAATCAGCATTTTTGATAGTAATACATAAAATGATCAAGAGTTCAAATGTCATCTTTGTAGCTTCCTCACAGCATGTTCTTAGGCAAGTTGCTGAACTCTCAGTCTCAGAATAAAAGGGAATTATTATATCTTTAAGATTGTTTTCATTGTCTTAGAATTTAAAATATATCTGAGAAGTTGATCTGGATTGACCATGTCAGCATTAAAAATCATTCCATAATTATTGCTTTTTTAATGGAGTATGTGTCATCTAAATATTGAAGCCCCCTCTCCCCTCAAACCAACCGTGACCTCCAAAAAAAAAACTAGAAAATAAAGCAAACATTTTTATTATCAAAGGGGACAATACAGAAGTCCTATTTCCTTTACTTTGGCATTGATGAGGGTCTTCATGGACTGATATATCATCTTTGGAGGTTTTTCTTTTACCTTCTCACCCACTCCAGCTATTACATAACCCCTAGTAACATTCAGGAACTGTAAAATATAAGAAACAAAGACCTTTAGAATTAAAGTACAAGAGCAAATAACAGCATTGAAAGAGTTAAACCATACGAACTGGAATCTGACCTCAGTGGTCCTTTTGATCTTAAAGATGTGACCTCACAGAGTGCTGGAGGAGTGATTATGAGAATACTTTCTTCTAGGGTATTTCAACAGGGATTGCCTTACCAATTAATTTTTGTTAGTCACCTGTTCCCAGAATTTTTCTTAGAATCTCAAAGCAATTAAGTATGGAGAAATAAAATTTGAGCCTAAATAAAGAATTTTTCTTCAGTGCCTTAATCATATTTCAAGTTACTGGGTTTATTTGTTTTGTTTTGTTTTGGTTAGGTTTATCATTGTTTGCTATTAGGAAATAGGTTTCATATAAGTTGATCCTACATTATTCTGTGATCTTGCATTTTATCTTGTTACTCTATTAAATAAATATAAATTACCTTTTTGGTAAATTACATTTTAAACTTAACTATTTCTATGTTTTTCTTAGGTCTTAAAGAAAGTGCAGAAGAAATGGTCAAAAACAAATTGGAGGGAAAGGATAAACTGACCCCTTGGGAACAATTTCTAGAGAAGAAAAAAGAAAAGAAAAGACTGAAAAAGAAACAGAAGGTATCAAACATGACCAAATATTTATTGAACAGCCATGCATGAGAATGATGCTTAGCAGCCATTATCTCATAAGGTAGCAACTCTCTGAGGTGGGTTTTACTACCATTGCAGTTTTAAGAAAAAGAAAAGGGAATAGCCAGTAGGTTATGTGTTTTCAACAAGGCTACATAATGTTGTATAAAGTCTAGTAAGAACCCAAAGCCACTTTAACCCACAGCCACTGTGCTCTAATATTTTCCATTTACATGCTACCTAAATAAAATACAAAGTTTAATTGATATGGAGATGTAAAACAGTTTGCTTCTCTTCTGTTTTTGAGGAATAGGTGCATATAGACTTTTTAACTTTTAAAAGTGTACTGTATTATTTCCTAGACCCTTGAAATTATGATATATAAATGCCCTGTGAAAATGTCATTGATGAGGCAAAGTCTAGAACAAGCCATTAGACATACAAATCTCTTTGAAAGATAGAAAAAGGATATTTTTTTCTGAATGATATACAAAACTATGAGGAGATTTTTATTATGTGGAACATCAGTTAAGAAAATGGACAAGAAATTATTGCATATAGTTTATCCAATTTCAATTTTTCTACATTCTACAATTTTTCTACAAGAATAAATAGCACTTTCAAATAAGGAAAATTTCTTCCTATCTTTATAAAAGTTAAATAATCTCTTTTTAATGAAAGTATAATTCCTCTTAATGTTTATATAAGATCAGTGTGTAGTTAAATGGACATTTTATTTTTTAATATATTTTATTGATTATGTTATTACAGTTACCGCATTCCCCTTTTCATTTCCCTCCACCCTGCACATCCTCTCCCACCTACATTCTCTCCCTTTAGTTCATGTCCATGTGTCATAAGTTCTTCAGCTTCTACATTTCCCATACTATTCTTGCCCTCCCCCTGTCTATTTTCTCCCTACCATCTATTCTACTTATTCTCTGTACCTTTTCCCCCCTCTCTCCTCCTCTCACTCCCCTGTTGCTAACCCTCCATGTGATCTCCATTTCTGTGATTCTATTCCTGTTCTAGTTGTTTGGTTAGTTTGTTTTTGTTTTAGGTGTAGTTAATAATTGTCAGTTTGCTGTCATTTTACTGTTCATATATGTTATCTTCTTTTTCTTAGATAAATCCCTTTAACATTTCATATAATAAGGCCTTGGTTATAATGTACTCCTTTAACTTGACCTTATCTGAGAACCACCTTACCTGCCCTTCCATTCTAAATGAAAGCTTTGCTGGATAGAACAATCTTGGATGTAGGTCCTTGCCTTTCATGACTGGGAATATTTCTTTCTAGCCCCTTCTTGTCTGCAAGGTCTCTCCTGAGAAATCAGCTGACAGTCTGATGGGAACTCCTTTGTAGGTGACTGTCTCCTTATCTCTTGCTGCTTCTAGGATTCTCTCCTTCATTTTAATCTTAGGTAATGTAATTATGATGTGCCTTGGTGTGTTCCTCCTTGGGTCCAACTTCTTTGGGACTCTCTGAGCTTCCTGGACTTCCTGGAAGTCTATTTCCTTTGCCAGATTGGGGAAGTTCTCCTTTATTATTTGTTCAAATAACGTTTCCACTTGCTGCGCTTCCTCTTCCCCTTTTGGTACCCCTATAATTCAGCTGTTGGAACATTTAAAGATGTCCTGGAGGTTCCCAAGCCTCTCCTCATTTTTTTTTGAATTCTTGTTTCTTCATTCTTTTCTGTTTGGTTATTTCTTCCTTCTGGTCCACTCCATTGATTCTGAGTCCCAGTTTTCTTCCCATCCCTATTGGTTCCATTCGTTTTCCTTCATTTCACTTAGCATGGCCTTCATTTTTTCATCTAATTTGTGACCAAATTCAACCAATTCTATGAGCATCCTGATCACCAGTGCTTTGAACTGTGCATCTAATAGGTTGGCTATCTCCTCATCGCTTGAAAGTATTTGCTGTGGTGCTTTGATCTGTTCTTTTGTTTGGGCCATTTTTTTCTGTCTTGTAGCACCTGTTGTGTATGAGGGGTGGAGCCTTAGGTGTTCACCAGGGTGGGGCAACCCAGTTATCTGGGTTGTGACACTGTATGTAGGGGCCGGGTCCGAGAGGGAACAAAGGTGCTTGCTCTGCTCTCTGTTGGATTTCAGTACCTTCCGCCACTTCCTCCAAGCAAACTGGGCCTTTCTGGTGCTAATTCCCTTGTGGGTGGGCTGTGCACATTCTAGGACCCCGTGGGTCTCTCCAATGAACTCTCCTGTGAGTCTGGGAGTCTCTCCCTATGCCTCAACCCCCACAGGTGTTTTCAATCAGTGCCCCGAGGCTCTACTTCCCAGCACGGGGACCCACATTCATGTACAGGCATGAATGTGGGACTGCCCATCACCAGCTGCCTTGCTCACAGTGCCTCCCTTCACAATCGCTGCCTTGCTGGGTCTGTCTGTTGCCACCCTGTGTCCGGGATCTGCCAGCCACTGCCTGTGCATCCAGGGTCCACCTGCTGTAGTCTTGTGCGCCCAGGATGCCTCACATACCCAATGCCACTGATTTTTGTGCCTTGACCCCTCTCCACCCAGCTGCCTAACTCTGCTCTTCCTACTGGTCTGGATGAAAGTGTCCATTTTAACTCCTTGGTTGTCCAACTTCCATACATTCCAATTTTCTGTCATTTCTGGTTGTTGTTTAGTTTCTGAATTGTTGTCCTTAATTTGGTTGTCCGAGGAGGCACAGTGTGTCTACCTACGCCTCCATCTTGGCCAGAAGTCCATATAGACTTCTTTACCTGAGGATATACCTAGAAAAGTATTTCATATTAATAAAATTTTCTATACATTTTTTATTTTCAATCACAGTTTTCACTTTTCAATATTATATATTATCCTTTTACATCTTATTAAGTCCATTTATTAAGGATATTTTTTCTGATAATATGCTGTGCATAAAAATCTGATTTGACTCTCATTGTAACATATTTTGCACAATTAGAGTTTTTAGTAATGGTAGCAGAGACCACTTACAGTTTTTACCTTGAAAATACCCTTATCTTGTCACCAGAATGTAGCATTCTGACAGTAAAGTCATTTTCTTAAGATGGTATCACTAATCACAACTTGAAGAATCTTAAATGATTACTTCTCATTCATCTCTGATGTTTTATAGTTGTAAAAATTTAAGTGATTTGCCTGAGGATACATAGCTTGTTAATGGCCAAGCCAAGACCAGAGTCCAGCTCTCACTCCAGTGTTCTTTCTACGGTACTGTGTTGTCTCTGTAATATGTAAGCTTATGCTTTTGGTACAGTTGTGACTGTTAGTGCTAGTAAAGGTAAGAGAGTAGCAAAATTGAATGATGCAATAGGGTGATTTTTGTACTCTAAGTGTAGTCAGTGTTTCTGGAAATGGATAGTAAAATGAAGAAATGGGGTAAGACCCCTGGCCACATTGATATGCTACCTCTCTTCTTCCCTAGAACTTCCTTTAAAACTAAGTAGTGAAATATTTTTAAATGGGATAATTTCAGAAGTTGTTAAGCAATCAGTTTATTGGAAGACTTACAAGTAGGTCTTGATGGGGTCAGTATAGTAGTCACTTGTTTCTGAGACCTTTAGCAACCATTTAATTTTATTTATATAAAATAAATTATACCCTTGATTTTCATTTGTTAGGCACTTTCCCTTTATTAGACTAAGACTGGACTCATTTTATCAATAACATTAAAAATACATTTGTTGAGTGCCTAGTTTATTCTAGACTTCACGGACTTGGATTTCAGCAGATCCCTTCCAATACCACAGATTCTCCATATAGACAAGAGTTTCAAGAATTTTCTTCAAATTATAAATATTTTTCGCCCTAGCTGGCATAGCTCAGTGGATTGAGCGCGGGCTGCGAACCAGTGTCACAGGTTCGATTCCCAGCCAGGGCACATGCCTGGGTTGCAGGCCATAACTCCCAGCAACCACACATTGATGTTTCTATCTATCTATCTATCTATCTATCTGTCTCCTTCCCTTCCCTCTAAAAATAAACAAATAAAATCTTTAATAATTAAATAAGTAAATAAATAAATATTTTTCCCCTTTTCCTTTCTGTGACTTCAGTTTTGATATTCAAAATGATTACTGAAGAAATGAATGAATGTTTACGCAAGATAGTTGATAATAGTTATAGTTTAGGTCTAAAAAAACAGTTAAAGAAATATGAATAGATACAAAGTTTATAATCTTTGTTAGAAATATATTACTGCTGAATCTATTATAATTTTTCATTAAAAATTTCTTAAAAGTTCTGTTGTTAAAAGGATATAATATCAAAAGGAAGCCCTGGCTGGTGTGGCTCAGTAGATTGAGCACCAGCCTGTGAACCAAAGGGTTGCTTGTTCAATTCCCAGTCAAGGCACATGCCTGGGTTGCAGGCCACGTCCCCAGTAAGGGATGCATGAGGGGCAACAACACATTGATGTGTCTTTCTCTCTTCTTCCCTTCTCTAAAAATAAATAAATAAAATATCTTAAAAAATGAATATTCTTTAGGGCTTGGTGGGTCTTCTTCAGCATGCAGGATAATGTTTAGCAATATTCATCCTAAATGTTTTTTTTACAATGATTCTTGTTTTAGATTCCTTGAGATAAGCTTAGTATGGTTAGTCTAATCTTATTTCACATATGTTCTATTTATTTTTATATACCTGAATTTTTCATTAAACATGCTAACTTAATAGATAGTCTGTTCAAATTTGATTAGGAAAATTTTAACTGATTTGCTTATAAATAGCCCAAGAGTTTTCAGAAGTAGATTATGGCTAAAACAAGATACATTTTGAAATTTGGGTGATGAGAATGAACAGGGGGTTCATTATGCTCTCCTTACTGCTTATACATATGCTTGAATTTTCATAATAAATAATCATTATTTTTAATTAACCAGCAAGTAAACTATTTTTAAAATAATGTAAAGGGTAACCCACAATGCACTACTTCATATTATTTATAGCACTGTTATTTCTCACTTTTCTGAGAATTAAGGCCACCTCTCTTCACTTAGTAGTCATCTAAAAGTATTTTCCTCCTTTGAATGTATCACTTTATTTTTGTCTCTCCTAGCAGTTCCTATCTTGAATTATTACTGATATATATGTCTGTGTCTTAACTTCCTTTAATCGTAAAATTTTTGAAAACAGAAACCATGTATCTGATAACATACATTTCTCCCCAACATGCTACATAGTTTCCTGTGTTTAAGTATTCCATAATACTGGGTTGGCCAAAAAGATTGTTTTTTTCTGTAAGATGGCTCTAGACAGAGGTGTCAAACTCATTTTCACCAGGGGCCAAATCAGCCTGGAGGTTGCCTTCAAAGAGCCGTATGTTAATTTTAGGACTGTATAAATGTAACTACTCCTTAACTGTTAAGCAAGAGCAAGGCGCTGCTGCTGGGAATACAAGGTGCTGGGCAGGATAAAACAAGGTGGAGGGCCAGATTCAGCCCACGGGCCTTGTGTATGCCACCTGTGTTCTAGTAGCACTTATTTGTCTTTAACTTCATTTGAAACAATTTTGTTAGATTGTATTGTGACAGCTGTCGGTCATATCAGCATGCATTAAAAAAATAGAATTGGTGAATATTTGTGTAGCCATTTTCATACTGAAGAAAATATGCAACATTTTTGGCATATTATGCTTTATTATTTTGAGAAAGGCAAATATACACTGAAACACAGGAAAAGATTTGTGCAGTGTATGGAGAAGGTGCTGTGACCGATCGAATGTGTCAAAAATGGTTTACGAAGTTTCGTACTGGAGATTTCTCACTGGATGATGTTCCACAGTCGGGTAGACCAGTGGAAGTTGATAGAGATCAAATCAAGACATTAATTGAGAACAATCGACATTATACCATGCGGGAGATAGCCAACAAATTCAAAATATCCAAATCAATAAAGTTATTGGTGAAAATGAAAAATGTCTTTTAAATTTTACGGACAAAACTGAATAGACTTTTTGTCCACCCTGATATATGTTGGACAAACAAAAGAATGACTCAGATGGGAATTATTTTATAAACTGATCCTTTTTTTTAAAGTAGTTTAATTTTAGATTGAACTATATGATTTAAAAGAAATCATTTTATCTTCATATATATTTATATATACACACACACCTCTGTGTGTGTGTGTGTGTGTGTGTGTGTGTGATGGTTCTTGTAATAAACTATATGTATTTTATACATATATTTATATTGAACTATATGATTTAAAAGAAACATTATCTTCCTTCATGTGTGTGTGGGTGTGTGTATGCATGTGATGGTTCTTGTAATAAACTGTGTATTTTATATTCAACCTTAAGGCTCTTGCTGAAGAGGCCAGTGAAGATGAACTTCCCTCTGATGTTGATTTGAACGACCCATACTTTGCTGAAGAAGTTAAAAAGATAGGTAAGCAAGCACACATTTGTTTTTTTCCGTTGGAATGTAAAGAAAAAGGGTAACATGTATAGAAACAATATGTTACTCATACTTTTAGAATTCCTAGAATTTGTATACCTCCCTTAGTGCCTTATAAGCAGGTCTGTCCTATGGGTTATAACCATTGACCAGATTAGGAAGCATCAGCCTGCCCCTTGTATATACAAGGAGTAATTTCATTGTGGGAGGCTTTTGGTAACATGATTAATTTTAGCAGTTTATTGGGTATTCCTTTCTGGGAAATATCCTTATAGCAGATTGACTATAAAAGGCTGAAAGAAAAAGGAATATTTATCTTCTTGTGTGCTTTCACTGCTTTATAACATATTCACTCTAGGTCTCTCTTTGCAAAAGCTATGAAGAATTGAAGTGTGAAATATGTTATGTGGATATGTTTATAAATTTAAAATACATGGTGTTGTATAAGAGCTATTCTGCTCAAGTATACAAAAGTATCTGTGTTTTATATTCTTTTTGTGTTTATCCTGCTTCATTATACCTGAAAATCTTCCTCCCATTTTTCCTTGAATTCCTGAACTATCTGGTATTTGATTTTCTATATCTACAGAGTCTTGTTTCCAGTACAAATGCACCACTCAGTTCTTTCCTGAATGCTTTTATTTTTACCTTTTTGGTGTGTAGAAATGTGTGCGGTAAGGTTCAGCCTATACTTGAACAAGCCAGTGCAGAGACCACTGTAAGCATTTTTCATTTGTTCTCATGCGTTTTGCTTTGCCCTGATTTGAATACCACACACATGAACCCCAAAGGCTTGCTCCTGGCACAACTCCAAGCTGGCATTGTAAAGAAAAGGATTTTATGAAGTTTCCTTGCTTCTTGTCCCTTGTGGCTAGTGGGCCAGAATAGTTCTGAACAGGAAAGTCAAATTGCTCAAAATTATTTCCTGGTTGTTATAGCTTTTTAGCACTGACATTTTATTGATGAAAAGGAGATCAAGATGAATAAAGTCTATTATAGGATGTGAGATTCTTAGGAATTGGAAAGGGAAATGGAAACTTAGCATGTTCTGCTTTTTATCATACCTGAGCGGTCATTTCTAGAAGATGATGGATTTTAGTCTTACCCTCTGATTTCAGGAAACCAAGTTTATTATATGGAGAAATGCAAAGCATTACAGTTTCCTTGTTCTCATTCCAAAGTGCTTCATTTGGCATGTGAAATCTGGTCAGATTGCAGAACTCAGGACAGGATTCAAAGAGTAAGTTAAATAGTTTGATGACTTGGGATAGCTTATTTCTTGGAATCAGTGCATTTCAATTGTGAATACACTTTTTCTAAAGTTAGTATCAGAAGTTCCAAGGAAAAGTATAGATAAAATTTGCTTGCTTTCAGTAGACTTTTGATTTTAGAATTCTGCATAGGAGTAATTATATGTGGGCTTAAGATGTTTTTTTAAAGCAAAAAGAATAACAGAAAGGCTTAGAATTTTTTAATATTCTAAGCCTAAAATACCTAAAATACCTAAAAAATGGTATATTACCATGTTTGTTTATTCATTCTATCAATAAATATTTTTGAGTGCCTGGTATGTGCTAGACACTCTGTTAGGCTAGAGATATAGCAGTAGTAATACAAACAAGGTTTTGTCCATAAGGAGTCTGTAGTTTTAGCGAAAACCATGGACTAAACAGGTAAACGAGTACGAATATTATGAGAATATGGTCAGTGTTTTAAAGGAAATGAATATGGTAATATAGAGGTTATAGTGGGGAGGAAGAAGGAGAGTAGCTTACTTTACATAGTATTGACAAAGAAGGCTTCTTTGAGGTGGTGACATTAAAGCTGAGACCTGTGGAATTAGAAGGAATCAGGCAGAAAGACCTGGGGGAAGAGCATTGCAAATGAGAGAAAAGTGGGTAAAAAGCTATGAGGTGAGAAAGAACTTGTGTTGGAAAAACTGAGAGACACTAATAGGCTGGAGCATGGACAGAGAGGGAATTTGGTATGAGGCCATGCTGGGATGCAGGACTGACCCTGCAGGGCCTTGCTGTCAGGGCAGCACCTTTGGATGTTATTCTTCTGACAGTGGAAAGTCACTGAAGGGTCTCCAAGCAAGTATGTGACATGGTCTGGCATATGCTGTAACATTGTTCTGCTTCCCATGGAGAGAACAGATTGAAGGAAGGCATTGATGAGAACTGGGAGAACAGGATTTTGCAGAGATCTAGACAAGGCGATGGCTGGTTTAGATGGCATGCCAATAACTGGAAGGAGAAAACTGAGTGACATATGTTTTGGAGGTAGGCTTGCTGATTTATTTGGATAAGGAAGAAATTTAGTGTAATTCTTATATTTTTGGTTAGAGTCTCTGGAAGAATACTCTTCCATTTACTGAAATAGGAAGGAATTTAGGAACAAAGGTTTTGGGTGGAAAGTAGTAAGGTCAGTAGGTTCATTTTGAATGTAATTGCTTGAGATATCAATTAGATATCTAAATGGAGGTATTTAGTCTCGAAGATATGCTGAGAAGCCAAAGTATAAATGTAGATTACAAATCAATAAAATAGCATTTCAAACCATGGGACTAGAGGCAGAAAGCATTGGTTAAAGAGGAGAATTGAGAATTGGGCTCATAAGGTACTACTTGGAAGGTAGAGGAGAGCTTAAGAGACTGAGAAAGAGCAGCATTAATTTTGGAAGAGTATATAGTTCAAATCCCATTGTTGAGCACAGAGATATTTTAAGCCAGATGGACTTGGGTATGTTTATGACACCTTTGCCCTAGGCAATCCCATAAAAGTGAATTTACACTCTTCAAAATACGGAAGAACTGAGTACATTGATTTATGCCAGTCCTGGTGTTTGTCTTGGGTTAAGGGCCTGTTTGAATACTAGAAATCTTTTCTAATTTTTCCTTCTCTTTTTTTCCTGTCACTATAAACTTGCTATAATTTTTCTATTTTTTCTAAATTGCAAACTTGACATGAAGTGAAGTTACAAAAATGTAATGTATTTCTAGAATAAAATAAAAGTTCTTGTTTTCTTTTAGAAATGAAATACTGGAAAATATTGCTTATTGTCTTAATTGCATAAACTCTTTAATAAGATTTTGTTTTTTGACAAAAAACAAAAGGAGTGAAATAAAATGTATCACATGTAAATATATCTCATTAAAATGTATCCTTTGTTTTGATAACTTTGTATATTTGATAAACCACCTTGAAAATTTAATAATATGCTACACATATTTGGTTCATTCAATCAGTATATTGAGTGCTTACCATGTTCTGCTCATATACTGTTGTACAGTTTGCAAGTGCTTTTATATTCATTCCGTCCTCTAATCCAAACTTTAGCCCACTTTATAGATGAGTAAACTGAAGCCCAAAAACATAGTTGAATTTTGCAAGGGCCAGATGGTAGAACCTGAATCCCAATGGGCTCTCTTTACTTTTTGTAATTTTACAAGTACATTCTATGGATCAAAGCCAGAGCCAGTACCCATATATATAAGAGCTAGACAGGAGGAATTCCTGGACCTCCAAGGCAAAGCCAGAGTGCCCCAGCCCAGAGGAAGATTAACAGACTACATCTGATTATGAGCAAGTGATCTTGAATATAGGAATTTGCTGCAAAAAGAGTGAATTTCCGGGGGGGTTACTGCTCCTGTCTGGTCAGTACTGAGACCATGTGTGCCCTCCAATGAATTCTCTTACCTGCTCTCTCACAAGAAGTGCTTAACTAAACCCTCTGGAGGAAAGCTTTTATGGGAACAGTTCTGTGGCATTACAAGTAATGAAAAATGGAATTTCTCTTACATATAGTGATTTTACAGACACCTTTTGCAACACAGCTTTTTCCTAGCTATACTTTGTGACATTTTCTGCTTAAAGGAATAGTAGCCTCAATAAAGAATTTTTTTAACTGTAAAACTCGAACATTTCCAGTCTCTGTTAGTATTTAACTTACTAGAACCAATCCATATGTACTTTTTGCAGTCCTAAGAGGTGTGATTTCTTACTTGCCAAATGATTTACTGAAAAAATAAAGATGACATTTCAGAATAAGACTTATTTCCACAATACTTGTCATTTAAGTTAGGTCTGAAAACCTTACCAAGAGGGGAAAATGCTTTTTAAAAATACAAATTAAAATGTGCCCTCTTAATATGATCTTGTTAACAGTGCAGAAAGGATCTCCACACATTATTTTATTTCTTGGCTAAACAGTTCAAGTCTAGCACACAGTAAATTCTTTGAAAGCAAAGAAATTTTCATCACGCTAAAATTGGATATCATTTTTAACCCTGACCATCTTGGAGCTTCTTTTTTTCCTCCCTTGCTTCAGTCTTTCTTTCAAGTTTATTTTATGACTTTTCACCAGGTTATTATAAAATCCGGAACAGTTCATTGTGGGCTCTTTGAAATTATTTCCCACAGCTGTGTGTAAAGATCTTTATCTCCTTTATGTATTAATCATGTACAGCCTGATTTCTTTTTTCCCTGCCACAGAATGATCTTCCATATTTGTCACTTGTCCATTCACTTCAAAAGGAGCTCTTACCTTGAGAGCATAGGAGCAGAGATAAACTTAGGGTGTAAGAGTCAGACCCAGAGAAAATGAGACCTTGATGATACTTATATATGTAAATATATACACATATTTAAAACAGAGAAAAAGGTATAATCTTAAAGTGGATATGTCATCCTCTGAAAAACATTTGAAAGAGAAGCAATAAAGATTTTCATTCTAGGGAGAAGGGCTGCATACAATAGTATTTCTTCTTGGAAATGCCTCCATCACATGAATGGTGAACCTGGCAGCACTTTCATGCTGACGTGCTCTCTCAGCTGGACCTGGCTGCTCAAGTACAGCAGGGACTTCATGTGTACGGAGCAGTTTTTAAAGCCTCTCTTGACTTTGGGTTTTGTTTTTCCTATTATCCCCCATTGGTTGTAGTTATTCAACCATCAGTATATGTTCTGTGAATTTTGCTTTGTTACTTCACATAAAAATGCATTTTAAATGGAAAGGTTGTTATAGGGAGAATGTTTGATAGCGGAGAAATGTAGTATGGTGGTAGCCTAAGCCTCAGTACTTGGGTTCCAGTTATGGTTCTTTCACTTGGTAAACTTTAGACAAATTATTTAACCTCTCTATGCTTTAGTTTTCTCATCCACAGGATGAGGATTAGAATAAATAGTAGAATCTATCTCATATCATTGTTACAAGGACTAAATTAGTTAATAAATGTAAAGACACTAGAACATACTATCTTTACTATGCCTGCCATAGTAAATGCTATGTAAACATTAATCATTATTCAGAGTCCATTGGTTTCTTTGCACTGGAAAAACAGAGCATGGCTTATTCAAAGAAGACAGTGTCCAGCAGTTCAGAGAAGGTTGGCATTGTGTATTAATGCTCTATAGTTACACAACGTGGCTTTGTAGACTCTGAACCTTCTTACTCTTTAGACTAATCTTTTATATGTTAGCACCCTGAAACCACTTCTTTTGAACTCCTCTGGCTCCAACAGGCATGAAATAGGAAGGAAAAAAATGAGGCATCAGTATGATCACCAGGGAATCCAGGGCATCTTATGTAGTCAGAATATCATAATAATATCAAGCACTTTATAGCACCATTAACTAAGTACTTCACATTTACTAATTTATGTAGTCCTCACAAAAACACCTGTGAGGTAGGTGCTGTTGTTATAATCTGCATTTTACAGATAAGGACACAGCACAAACTGCCACAGGTAGAATGTGGTAAAGCCAGAATTTAAACACAGGCCAACTGCTTCAGAGTCAAGTGCCCTTAATTGCTGCACATTACTGCCTCTCATTTAGGACAAAAACATCTCAGCTAACACCTTGTGGTCTCCACAAATCCTAGGGTCCCTAAAAATACAAGCAGTTTTCAATCCAGAGCCAATTTTGGCATAAGTGATTGTGCCTCATAATGCAGTAGGAGGTTAACCAAAGATCAGATTTGTCTGTAGAGAAGGAGAAAGGGTTTTGTTAAACTATTACTTACAGGTAATTACTATCAAGTTGTTATTTTAAACATGCCTTTTTTTATTTTGCAGATGAGTTTGATATGCTGAGTTTTAAGCATTTATTTGTTAAAATTGTTGTGTTTTTTTTTTTTCATTATGATTTCTTCAGTTGTTCTCATGCTAAGAAAATATGATTCTTCTATTCAAGATTAGGTAGTTTTCCCCTATGTTTTCTCATAAGGTTTTTTTCTTTAATGATTAACTCTTTAATCTATTGCATTTTATTTGCCTGTACATCATGAAATAAGACAATAACTTGATTTTTTTTTTCAGAACAAAACAAATTGCCCTCCACTAGTTATTGAATAACCCCTTCTTTTTTCAGTAATATATGATACTACATTTTATTATTATATACTAAGCTATACTGTACTGTTTTTCCCATTATACAGTATTTTTTGCTTATTTTCACTTTGTAGTACACTTTAGTACACCATATCAATAGTATATCAAATCTGTCTTGTTAATCTTTGTAAAGATTTCCTTGAATGAAATTTTACTTGGAGTTTTATTAAGTGTATATTAAATTCTCTATCATGAATGGATATAGAATTTTATCAAATGCTATTCTGTATATTGAAATGATCTTACAGATTTTCTTTCTTAGTTGATAATATGCATTACTTTCAAAAGAAATTGCTTTTTTATAATAATTCAGTCACCCCATCCAGATGTGTTGTATTATTCCGTTCACACCTATAGTCATCTCTCAGTAATAATTTTTTTACTTTCTCTAGTTTTTATACATTTATTGATAAGATTATTCCTTTATATCTTGCATTTTTGTTCCTGGGGTAAACTTATTGTTGCTGATAGTCTTGTAATTTTTAACTCTCCTTTGTTTCTTGTGCCAGGTATAAAAGAAACGAAAAAATCAATGAAATCTGTAAAAGGTAGCACATCTCCAGAGGAAGAAGCTGAAATAGAAAAACAGAAGGTAAAATGATTATTGTTACATACTTACTTGATCACTGAGATGTAATTTAAATGAAGTTATTCACATGAGTTTCCAGTGTCCCTCCCTAATAAAAAAATAACTGATTTTAGCAATAAAGTTTATAAAATATAAAACATATAATAAATATTTTAGCAGCATAGTATTGAAATACCACTTTTTTACTAAATATGTATTCAGTCAGTAAAATTTACCTAAAACCCAAGGCATGTCCTTTGGTGATAAAGAGGAAAATATCTCATTATTATAGACTTATTATAACTGAGACAGAAATACTACGATGATTAAAACCTAAATAATTTTGCCATAAGCTTTAATTTAATCTGAGTTTTCCCTATAAAGAAACTTTGCTCTTATGGCTTGTCAAATGCTAATTTCACTCTTTTTATTATTGTAAAAATCATAAGTTTAATGTACAAAAATAAAGTCTTTATTGGAAATGCAGTGAACCTTATCTTCAGTGACTCCAAAGATCCATGCCACGGAGCATTATGCGTTTTTGCTTAGGCAGGAATTGGAGCCAGCAACATCTGTATGACTGACTTTCATACCACTATCTGGGAGTGGTCCTGACTATTCACATAAATTCTTCATCTTAATGGATCTTTTCTCCATTTATTGCATATACAGTAATACTCATAGAGTTAAGAGGCACAAAGATAATATCATTGGTGGAAAATGTCTTGAAAAAGAAAGCCAATGGCACATGCCAGTGATGTAAGTAAAAGGAAATTAAAGCAGGCTTAAGTAATAATATTGGAAGATTCACAAAAGTCTGGCATCACACTAGTATTTTCTGTAGTATTTTCCCTACGATACATGGTTGTTTCCTTGGTTCTTCAGGGTTCACATTTAATCCTATCTCACATTGGTAGAAAATCCCTATTTAGTGGAAAAGACAATATATTATATTTCAGAAGCAAATATTAAGATCCCTTCATAGCAGTGCATCAGTATTGAAACAATAAAGGCAATGGCAAAAGAAAAAATAAATTTCTTGTTAAAATACTTGTTTAAAAAGTAGTTTGGCGCTGGATGATGTGGCTCAGTGGATTGAGTGCTAGCCTGTGAACCAAACGGTCACCAGTTCTATTCCCAGTCAGGGCACATGCCTGGGTTGCAGGCCAGGTCCCCAGTCTGGGGTGTGCAAGAGGCAACCACACATTGATATTTCTCTCCCTCTGTTTCTCCTTCCCTTCCCTAAAAAAAAAAAAAAAGTACATAGAATCTTCTAAAAAAGTAGTTTGTAGCACAAAATATTAGATTAGCTATATTTAACATCATTACTTAAAAAACCAAAGTGAAAAGAAAATTTTATTTGAGTGATGGAATTTCATTTGTATAGAATACTAACCAATTATACTAAGTGGAATGTAGTCTGCTTTTAAAATGCAAATTTTCTCCCCTCTTCTGCTCTCAGTATGTTGCTTCTAAAGATTTTTACTTATTGCTATACAAAGATCTCTGTGTTTCTTTTTTGTTTTGTTTTGTTTTGTTTTGTTTAATTTTAAAGTATATTTTATTGATTAAGACTTTCGGCCAAGATGGAGATGTAGGCAGGCACACTGTGGCTCCTTGTACAACCAAATTAAGGACAACAAAAATTTAGAAACAAACAAAAAACCCAACCAGAACTGCCAGAAAATTGAACTGTACTGAAGTCTGACAACCAGGGAGTTAGAAACATTCATCCAGTCTGGTAGGAGGGGTGGAGTTAGGCAACTGGGCAGAGTTGGGCACCTATGGAGGGGGATCATAGCGGGGGGGGGGGGGGATTGGTGGCTTGCGGACCGCGGCACCCAAGGTAGCAGCTGACAGACCCCGAGTTTGGGGTGGCAACAAGCAGACCCAGTGAGGCACTCAGGGTAGCTGGCTGACCGGGCGGTCCCACATTCTCGTGCAGACAAACCAGGCAAAGCTGGGGAGCGAGACAGACTACGTTATGCAACCCAGGGCTCCAGCATGGGCAAATAAAGCTTTAAAACACTGATTGAAAACACCTGTGGGGTTTGAAGCACAAGGAGACTCCCAGCCTCACAGGAGAGTTCATTGGAGAGATCCACAGGGTCCTAGAACATACACAAGCCCACCCAAATGGGAATCAGCACCAGACGGGCCCAATTTGCTTATGGGAAGCCTCAGAAGAGACTGAAATCCGATAGAGAGCAGAGCAAGCGCCATTGTTCCCTGTCAGACCCCTCCCCCACAAACAGCATCACAACCCAGCAACTGGGTTGCCCCACCCTGGTGAACACCTAAGGCTCCACCCCTCATACACAACAGGTGCTACAAGACAAAAATAAAATTGGCCCAAACAAAAGAACAGATCAAAGCACCACAGCAAATACTTTCAAGCGATGAGGAGATAGCCAACCTATTAGATGCACAGTTCAAAGCGCTGGTGATCAGGATGCTCATAGAATTGGTTGAATTTGGTCACAAATTAGATGAAAAAATGAAGGCCATGCTAAGTGAAATGAAGGAAAACGAATGGAACCAATAGTGACGGGAAGAAAACTGGGACTCAGAATCAATGGAGTGGACCAGAAGGAAGAAATAACCAAACAGAAAAGAATGAAGAAACAAGAATTCAAAAAAAAATGAGGAGAGGCTTAGGAACCTCCAGGACATCTTTAAATGTTCTAACATCTGAATTATAGGGGTACCAAAAGGGGAAGAGGAAGCGCAGCAAGTGGAAACGTTATTTGAACAAATAATAAAGGAGAACTTCCCCAATCTGGCAAAGGAAATAGACTTCCAGGAAGTCCAGGAAGCTCAGAGAGTCCCAAAGAAGTTGGACCCAAGGAGGAACACACCAAGGCACATCATAATTACATTACCTAAGATTAAAATGAAGGAGAGAATCCTAGAAGCAGCAAGAGATAAGGAGACAGTCACCTACAAAGGAGTTCCCATCAGACTGTCAGCTGATTTCTCAGGAGAGACCTTGCAGACAAGAAGGGGCTAGAAAGAAATATTCCCAGTCATGAAAGGCAAGGACCTACATCCAAGATTGCTCTATCCAGCAAAGCTTTCATTTAGAATGATTTAGAATGGAAGGGCAGATAAAGTGCTTCTCAGATAAGGTCAAGTTAAAGGAGTACATTATCACCAAGCCCTATTATATGAAATGTTAAAGGGACTTATCTAAGAAAAAGAAGATAACATATATGAACAGTAAAATGAGCAAACTCACAGTTAATAACAATCACATCTAAAGCAAAAGCAAACTAAGCAAACAACTAGAACAGGAACAGAACCACAGAAATGGAGATCACATGGAGGGTTAGCAACAGGGAAGTGGGAGGAGGAGGGGGGGGGAAGGTACAGAAAATAAGTAGCATAGATGGTAAGTAGAAAATAGACCGGGAGAGGGTAAGAATAGTATGGGAAATGTAGAAGCTAAAGAACTTATGACACATGGACATGAACTAAAGGAGGGGAATGTGGGTGGGAGAGGATGTGCAGGGTAGAGGGAAATGGGGTAACTGTAATAGCATAATCAATAAAAATTTTTTTAAAGTACATTTTATTGATTATGTTATTACAGTTGTCCCATGGTTTCTTTTCCCATTATCCCACACCTCCCTGTACCCCTCTCCCCACCAGCATTCCCCCACCCCCTAGTTCATGTCCGTAGGTAGTACATATAAGTTCTTTGGCTTCTTCATTTCCTATATTATTCTGAACCTCCCTCTATTTTCTACTTACCAATTATGCTTATTCCCTGGACCTTTTTCCCCATTCTCTCCCTTCCCCCTCCCCACTGATAACCCTCCATATGATCTCCACTTATGTGGTTCTCTTCCTGTTCTAGTTGTTGGCTTAGTTTGTTTTTATTTTTGTTTTTTAGGTTTATTTGTTGATAGTTGTGACTTTGTTGTCATTTTACTGTTTGTAGTTTTGATCTTCTTTTTCTTAGATAAGTCCCTTTACCATTTCATATAATAAGGGCTTGATGATGATGAACTCCTTGAACTTGACCTTATCTGGGAAGCACTTTATCTGCCCTTCTATTCTAAATGATAACTTTGCTGGATAGAGTAATGTTGGATTTAGGTCCTTGCCTTTCATTACTTTGAATACTTCTTTCCAGCCCGTTCTCACCTGCAAGGTGTCTTTTGAGAGATCAGCTGCGAGTCTTATGGGAACTCCTTTGTAGGAAAATCTCTGTTTTTCTCTTGCTGCTTTTAAGATTCTCTCCTTATCTTTAATCCTGGTCAATTTAATTATGATGTGCCTTGGTGTGTTTCTCCTTGGGTCCCTCTTCTTTGGGTCTCTGAACTCCCTGGACTTCCTGGGAGTCTATTTCCTTTGCCAGACTGGGGAAGTTCTCCTTCATTATGTTTTCAAATAAATTTTCTGTTTCTAGCTCTTCCTCTTCTCCTTCAGGCACCCTTACAATTTGGATGTTGGAATGTTTAAAGTTGTCCCATAGATTCTGAATCCTCTCATCATTTTTTTGAATTATTGTTTCTTCATTCTGTTCTGGTTGAACGTTTATTTCTTCTTCCTGCTCCAAATTGTTGATTTGATTCCCGGTTTCCTTCCCTTCACTGTTGGTTCCCTGTGTATTTTTCTTTATTTCAATTTTCATAGCCTTCACTGTTTCCTCTAGTTTGCTACCATACTCAATCATTTCTGTGAACAGCCCATTTACCATTGTTTTGAACTCTACATCTGTAGGTTGTCTATCTCCTCATTGCTTAGTTCTTTTTCAGATTTTTTTATCTTTTCTTTTCATCTGGGCCATATTTTTTGCCTCGGTGCACCTGTTATATTGTAAGGGACAGAGCTTTAGGGTTTCACCAGGGCAAGGTGACCCACTTCACTGCATTGTGACTGTATGTGGGGGAGGGGTCAAAGTGGGAACAGGGCTGCTTGCTTAGCTCTCGCCCGAGTTTAGTCACTTCCCCCACTTCCCACAAGCAGATTGGACCCTTCTGGTGCTGATTTTGTGGTCGGTGGATATGTGTACATTATAGGACCCCATGGGTTTCTCTAACGAACTCTCCTGTGAGACTGGGAGTTTCTCCCCCAGCCGCAACCCCCACAGATTTTTATAGCCAGAGGCTTTGAGGTTTTAGTCTCCTGTGCAGGGACCCTGGGTTGCACAGTCTGTCTTGCTCCCCAGTTGTTCCACCTGGCTTATCTGCACATGAATATTCAACCAGCCACTGCCAGCTTCTCCCTCTCTTTCCCAGTCCATCTCCTTACCATTCATCCTGCCCCAGTCTGCCCCAGCTGCCCCTTTCCACCCCTCCTACTGAGCTGGATGAATGTTTCTTCTTCAACTCCTTGGTTGTTGGACTTCCATACAGTTCGATTTTTTGGCAGTTTGGGTTGTTTTTTTTTGTTTGTTTTTAAATTTGTTGTTGGCCTTCTTCAGGTTGTACGAGGAAGCAAAGCGTATCTACCTACACCTCCATCTTGGCCAGAAGTTCTCTGGGTTTCTGTATGAGTTTCAGTAATCCACAGTCAGACTATGGATGACACATGTTGTCCTGGATCTCTGGTGGCTGAGTTCTCTTTCCTAGAGGAGATTTCTGTGCCCTATATTCCTGTTTGGGGTTAAAAAACACAGCATTGTATATTTGAATTTCTTTTTTCTCATTATAGGCTGAAATGGCTTTGCTCATGATGGATGAGGACGAAGAGAGCAAGAAACACTTCAATTACAACAAGATTGTAGAACACCAGAATCTGAGCAAAAAGAAGAAAAAACAGCTTATGAAAAAGAAGGAATTATTAGAAGATGACTTTGAGGTAACCAGGGACAGAAGTCTTTCTTTAGTCTCTTAAAGCTGGTGTTGAATCTAGACTCAGGTCTGGAGATAAAAATTAAGTATAGGCAAAGTTAGCCATGAGTCTCAGGAAGAGCTATGGAGCCAGAGATACCATCTTTTAGTCCTACACAGCCAGTTCATTCCCAGGTGGATCGAATCATTGTTTCTTTGGTTGAGCACCAGGTGAAGTAGCTGGCTTGGTAGCCATGTTGCACCAAAATAGGTAGCTTTCAATGTTAGAATCATTGTAAGCTATCTATGCAGTGCGAAGCTCCCTTGGGAAGGTTAGGCATAATTAATTGCATATTAATTATGCAATTGATGAACCCCAATGAGGGGTTCATGTCATATTGAATCATAGTCTCACTGTGTACAGTGGCCAGCACTGTAAGCTATGCTTTTTTAATTGGTATATTTTTTGGTTTCCATTGCTCCCTCTTTTCTAATGATCACTTAGTCCCCATGCATGAGTTTGAGCCCTGTGCAGAAAACCTACAAACAGCTGCCAGGAACTACTTAATAATGCCTTCCAGCCATTAACATGGAAGAATAGACCCTGAAGAACATGGAGAAATTTTGAATTTGTTCAGAGAATGGAGAGGAACATAACAGATAATTTCTAAGTAGCATATAGAGGGATATATATAATATACATATATATATATATCACTATAGTCCTCTTTTGAGGACATTGTCATTGCATGATAAGAACAGTGTTTTCTTCATGTCATGGTCTTAAGAGTAGGCCTTTGAACTCCATTGAAGATCTGTGGGAAAACAGTTTTCTATTGAAGCTATGCAAAATGCTCACATTTATGTAATCAGCAACTCACTGACTTTTCAATCACAGTTTCAATAGTTTATTAGTTTCAGTATATAGCATAGTGGTTAAACATTTATATAATTTACAAAGTGATTCTTTCCCCCACACCCAGCCAATAACCACTGACTGACTTAAAATTTTGTCACATTTCTGGTTCTTTTTTAGTTTACTAATTTAATTTGTTTTGATTTTCCTTTTGGACTTACAGGTAAATGTTAAGGATTCACGGTTTCAGGCAATGTATACTTCCCACTTGTTCAATTTGGATCCTTCAGATCCTAATTTCAAGAAAACAAAAGCTATGGAAAAAATCCTTGAGGAGAAAGCCCGGCAGAGAGAACAAAAAGAACAAGAACTTATTCAGGCAATAAAGAAAAAGGAGAGTGAAATTCAGAAGGAATCACGAAAGAGTTCCATTGATCCTGCCTTGTCAATGTTGATTAAATCGGTAAAAAACAAAACAGAGCAGTTTCAAGCAAGAAAAAAACAAAAAATCAAATAGCTCTATGTTGTTTCTTTTAAGATTGAGAATGTGATATCTCTAAAGTTTACAGAAGTGGTAGAAAGAGTATTGGGAACAGAGCTACCTTTCAGGAATATGAATAATGTCTTATTCTGACCATTGAAAATTTCTCTCATATATAACAGGTAGACTTAATTGTGATGACAGATTTGTGCTTTATAGGATTTATAAAGTTTTTATATTTCATGAAATTTAGTTCATACTAGAAGATTAAGGTATAGCCTCTTTCAAAGACTTTACAATTCTATGTAAAAAGAGAACAATAAAAATAAGTAGAACAGATAAAAAAGTGCTGAATTAACTTTTTTAGCCGTAATGGATGGAAGCGATCATTCACTTTCTTTCTTGTTTCATCATGTTTATTATAGTTTGTTTTTGAAATTAACTGGTAAATAAAAGTTCAGAATATTTTTATTATTTTGTATAGCAGTGATTTATTTCATTGTATGCACCTCAAATAAACTACTCCCTGGAAAGATATCTGAATAACTTTCTTCCGTAAGAGAATAATTCCATGAAGATGCCAAGTCCAGGTTTGCATTGCTCTTAATTATATTTGAAGTGTCCATGAGCTCTGCAATGATTTTTTCACTTGCAGTAACAAAATTCTTTCATCTAACCTTCAGATTTTTGGAATGCTTGGGGGGTGAATATGCTGCTATGGAGTTTAAGGAATCTTAATTCTTTTTAAACTTAAAACATATTCAAGGCCTTGATACTCCTGATCTCACCTAGTCCAGGTTTTATAAACTGTTCACTGTCCACTTAGGAAGAACATTAGGTTCGCCATATAAATAAATGGAAATAGAAACCAAAATGTTCACTTCGAACAAATGATAAATATGGTAGCTTCTGAATGACATGCAGAGTTCGGCCAGCTTTGTGGTTAGTTTTTTGATACAAAAATTTAAGTTTTTCAATGTATTTTTTTTTTCAAGAATAAAAGTATGTAAAACAGTGATCAGGATGATAAGGTATATATATAGACTCCTGAAGAGGAAGGGCACAAAAGGACATTTAAATTACCTATTATAACAGAGAAGAAAATGTATAGTATTGTGCAGGGAATTGTTTTTCTTTGTTTTTAACCATAAACCACTGACATTATTAGGTAATTTAGTCCCAAAAATGCATTGTTCCTGTTAATCAATTTGAATCTATTCATCATTGAAAGATCATGAATCTTAATATGTTTGTGAATATAGTATATAGAGTTATATAATTATCTATATTTCATATATACAAAGGGAAATACTTGTTTCTTCTAAACTGTATGATTTTAGTGTAGGGATTATAGTTTGATTTCCAGGTTCCTGGGAAACTTAGCCCTTTGGTTTTTGATTGATTTGGTTTGAATTTTTGTTTTTGAGCCTTTTGTTTTTAGTCACTGTATTTAATTGTAAATCTCATTTTATTAGGCACATAATTGAACAAGTAAATTGAGGATATAAGTTATACAGAGCCCTGGCTTCTTTTCTCAGAGGGTTGATATTTTTTAGGTAGAAAGAAAATAAGAATAGCATTATTAGGTACTGCATTAAATAAACATTCTACATCAAGAATGTAGACTATCAGTAAATAATCACTGGTAGTAAAACTCAGGATAAAATGGCCACTGTTAAAAATTCAGCAAACAATTTGAGGGTAGTTTGGATGATTCTTAAGGTCACATTTAGATTTTTGTTGCTATTGTTGTTAGAGGACCTTGGAGAAAGGTCAGCATTATAGCATCCAGAGTCATGAGTGACTCAAGACCAGTGAAGCTGTCATGTGTCAGACTTTCATCATCAGTCTTGGGGACTAGCTTGGTCCCCACTGTCATTGCTATTTCCTGTCTCCAAGGGAGATACTTGAGAGACATAGCAGCACAGTAAGGACTGCACTCATGCCATAGTCTCTAACTATTAGGCCAACATTAGATGACATCTTGGCCTTTTTCGCTCATTAGAATCATTTGGTGGAATTTTTAAAATTTCAGTGGCCAATCTGCATCCTAGACCCATTAAATTATACCTATGAGGTAGAATCCAGTCATTTAATAAAGCTCTATTGGTAATTCCAATATGCAAGCCAAGGTTGAGGGCTACTTCTTTAGAAGGAAAAAGAAAACCCAAATATTTTCTTTTTGGTCCACCATATCAGAAATGAATGAACTCAGTATCAACTATGTATTAGCTCTTGCTGCTTAACAAACCACCCAAACATACTGGCTTGGAATAGCAAACACTTATTATTTCTCATGAATCTTTGGGTTGGCTAGACAGGATTTAGGCCAGCTCAGCTGCTGAGCTGGGGCTTGTTGGGACTCCATATTAACTCAGATAACTGAGATAGCAAGGAAATCTCTCAATACAGGCTCTTTCACATGGTGACAGAAGGGTTCCCAGCTGCAAGAGGGGATGTGCATTGGTGCAAGTACTTTTCAAGACACTGTCAGAGGCCATTGGCCAAAACCAGAATCAATAGGTGGCAAAGTCACAATGCAAAAAGTCACATACAAAGATACATGAACAAATGGGGTCCATTATTAAAGATCTGCACACAGGTGTCTTCTTCTGTGGAAACAGGTTCAGTATAAGGTTTTTCCAGTTTCAGGAAGTAAAGCTGCTATTCAGTATACCTGTTTGTGTGAAACACAGGTTTTCTTGGGCAGATACTAGGAGTGGAAAGCTGGCTTATATGGTAAGTACATGTTTAACTTTGTAATAAACTGCAAAATAATGTTTACCATAGTTGTTGAATTATTTTGTATTGCCACCAAGAAGATGAGTTCCAGTTGCTCCACATCTTCACCCACCAGCATTTAAAATTGTCAGTCTGTGTTTTGTTTTTGCCATTCTAATAAGTGTGTACTGCTATCTCATTGTGGTTTTATAATTAGCATTTCCCTGATAACTTTTTCTGTGCTTATTTATCATCCATATATTTTCTTTGGTGAAGTATTTATTCAGATCTTTTGCCCATTTTTTTAAAAACTGAGTTACTTGTTTCCCTATTGTTGAATTTTAAGAGTTGTTTATTCATCTAGACACAAGAACTTAGTCATATATATATGATTTTCAAATATTTTCTCTTGCTATTGCTTGAGTTTTTCATTCTTTTAACAGTCTTTCATAGAACAAAGCTTTTTATTTTTATAAAGTCCAATTTATCCATTTTTAATGGACTGTCATATCTAAGAATATTTTGACTAACCCAGGGGTACAGATTTGTTTACCACTGTTTCATTTAAAAGTCTTACTGTTATAGAACAACAGGGCGGGGAGGGGAGTGGCAAGGGGGGCAAGGGCAATATACTATTACCAAAAGGAACCCCCCAGTTTTGTTATGTCCACTGCCTTATAGGAAAGACATCTCTCAATTGCAGAGATTCATGAAAAGGAAAGGAAATGTTTATTTAATACTATATAAACTTAAAGTAATAACCTAATGTCTTCATCAAAATCCCCAAGTCCCTTAAAACACCCACAAACACACACAGTCCTTCCTTCCCCCTTTACCCAGTCTGGGGTACTGTATCTCAGGAAAAGAAATAGAAGTCCGTGGTTTGGGCAGCCCCCAGTTCTTCCTGGTAATCCATCTTGGCTGCTAAGCCTCCCTCGGTTTCTGGCACCATCAGCTATGTCACAGGGATCTCTGCTAAAGTTGGGTGGTGGTTCCCCCTTCTAAAGCTGCAGGCGTCCCCACTCTGGCAAAGCCACGTGGCTCTCCTTTCTATTGCTACAGCCAAGTGGTCCTTTCTGCACAATGGCCACAGGAGTCTCCACTCAGCCAAAACTGAGTGGTTCTCCCTCCACTGCCCCAGCCGCATGGTCCTCCCTCCAATGGATCCTGTGTCTGGGTTTAAATCCCCGAGGCCAATCTTCCTCTGCAGCCCCATTTCCGACTCCTCCCACAATCGGCTACACTTGCCAGCACTCTCATATCCTTCTACCTTTACTGGGCTGCCATCGTGAGTCTGGGCAGGCGTGGCCCCATGTCATGGAGCCAGTCTTCTCTAAGCTCCCACGCAGGCACTATAACTTGGGGGACCTGCCCCCCAGTTATGTCTTGGTGGGGAAGTTACTTCCATCCCCCTGGCTCAGAGCATGGCCACAGCTATTTAACATATCTATGTAACCAGTTAAAGGTTATAGATATGTTAAATGACCACACCAGAGGTTAGCTGCAAAGCTGTTGCTATGCAAAACAGCTCTCAATGGCCCTGCTCCATTTGTCCCTTTCCCCAACCCACACCTGTGGGGGGAGGGGGGAGGACATCCTAATATTTCCTGGACACCCTGAGTTCTGGACCCCATTCCAAATCCCTATTTGGGCCCCCCCCTTTTTGGCTGCACCCTGTAACATCACAGCCCTGACTGGTGTGGATCAGTAGATTGGGCATCATCCCACAAACCAAAAGGTCACCAGTTTAATTCCCACTCTGGGCACATGCCTAGATTGTGGGTCAGGTCCCCAGTTGAGAGCATGTGAGAGGCAAGCGATCCATGTTTCTGTCTCACATTGATGTTTCTCTCCACTTCATCCCTCCCTTCCCCTCTCTCTAAAATAAACATAAAAATTTTTTTTAAAAAAAGACTGAAAGCCTTACATTTTTATGTTTTACATTTAGGCATATACTGCAAGGGGAGACCCCAAAAATACAGAACTGTCTTCTGGAGGGTGGGCCCCTTGTAGCACTCCCATTAAGTGAGTGTTCTAGGAACACATCCATAGCAGTGTACCCTGGCATTGTTATGAGAGGCTGCATTTGGCTTCAGTGAATTTTTTTTTGAAGACAACACATTTGCCTATTTCATGAGGAGTGATTTACAAGTGCACCTGACCACACCACACTTAGTGTTCAGCAGTTTTTGAACAAAAACAGCATGACCCCCCCATGCCCCACACTTCCTATTCACCAAATCTCACCCCAAGCAACTTTTTTGTTCGTTTGTTTCCCTGATGAAAAACGGGGAACAAACTGATGTGGAAGAGGTGAAACAAAAAATGGTGGAAGCCCTAAAAGGTATCAAAATCAACTAGTTCAAAAACTCTTCTGAGCAATGAAAATAAAGTTTCAATAGGTATATTGCATTAAGTGGAGAGTACTTTGAAGGTGACTCATTTAAATATGTAAGGATAAATACAGGATTTTGTATAAATAAGTTACAGTTTTGGGGATTGCCCCCTTGTAGATGGCAAATAAGCATGTGAGAAGATACTCCACTTTACTACTAGCCATTAGGGAAATGCAAATTAAAACCACAATGAGCCCTGGCCAGTGTGGCTTGGTTGGACCATCGTCCAGTGCATCAAAAGGTATTGGATTCGATTCCCAGTTGGGGGACATACCTAGGTTGCAGGTTCAGTCCCCAGCCAGGGTGCCTATGTGAAGCAGTCAATCGATGTTTCTCACTCACATCGATGTTTCT